GGTAAATTAAAATACTTTGTACTTGGCAATCAATAAATCTTTTTTTTAATTATTACACATAGCCGATTATACAGAATTAATCTTTAAACAAACTAAATTTCAATGTAAATCAGCATGGATGATCCTCATTGTTAAGGATTTAGTTAGTAACAATAAAAAGAGACGAGCAGACAGATTAAATTGTCTGAGTACAAGAAACATTTAATTCTCTCCTCTCAAGGAGAGTTCTCTAAACATCACAAATCACAAATCATTTGCAGCTAGACAAATATAAGCAGACCATAATGAACTTTCATTTGTATTCATTTGAAAGAAAATGTACCGAAATGATACGTTCAGGAACTTACAAAGTTAACTCACATTGTATAAGCTAATTCCAAAAATTTCATGAGAATTTTCAAAAGAATCTCAAAACAATTCTTTTGAAACAAAATTGGACAGATGAATAATTAAGAATAAGATAAATGAGAAATATTTTAGTAAGTAAGAGAATATAAAAATAACCAGAATCTTGGATTAAGAAAAACATTACTATATAAATTTTAGTAATTTTATAATAAAATCATAGAAATAGATATTGCTGAGTAGAACAACCAAAAAGAAGATAAAATGATGAGGGTAGTTAGAAAAGTTGCTCCTTTTATTGACTCAATTGAAGCGAAGACAGATATAATAATTTAGGAATTACAAATAACCAAAATTCCAATCACTTAATTAAGCTGAGATGAATTAACTAAATTTCTTTCTTTAGTTACCAAATAATGCATTTCTTGAAATATTCAGACCAAACATTATTTGATACTTCAAAAATACAATTTTATTACATTTCTAATACTATTTTTAGTTTTGAAAGCCAAGGAATATTGTATGGCACCAATCTTTTAAGCAAAGAAAACCAGCTTGCTTGCTTGCTTGCCTGTATTTAAAAAAGAGAAAAAAATTCAACATCTGAAATGCTAGCCTTAAAGTTTAAGTTCTCTTTGGAAATTACTTCAAAAGTCGTTTTAATTTAATTTTTGTATCAATAAAGCTAAAGCATAATCAATTAAACAAAATGTTTCTGACTCTAAAAAAGCACTAAAATTGTTATATGCTGTCGAACTAGCTGTTTGAAATTGCTTTTTTAAGAAATAACCTAGATATTCCTAAGAAATTTCTGCTATCAGCAAAAGCCATGAAGCAGCATTTTATAAAGCAATAAACTAAACACATTAGTAAATGTTGATAGCTATCAAACAGCAATTTGTTTATAATGTTTTTACAGCGCAAATTGTTGGGATGAGCTGAAAATATAAACAAATGGTTATTAAAAAATGGATCACATTAAAAAACTACACTTGCAAGGTTTTTTTTTTGACACACATTTCCAATCAATGAATTAAACTGAAATAAAAAAAAAGGTTTACTTATGAAACTGCAAATAAAATATTTAATTTCAGGATGTTTACAGAATGAATTACAAAACTTATTATTTTAATTAAAATGTTTATAGTAGAAGCCTGCAATACACTAAGCTTTCACTCCAATTATCTTTATTCTTTCTTTAATCTTTAGTCTTTACTCATAAATGGATAATCCAGTACTAAAGACTAGATCTGGTTAAACTAAAAAAAAAAAAAAAAAAAAAGAACATCTGTCAAATTACAGATTGAAAGAAAGTGAAAAGTTGTAACTGGGCTTTGTCATAGAACTGACCAAAACAAAAAAAAAACATCACCTGAAAGTGACAAGTGCACTACTAAAAATCATTAGGATCACAACAGTCCCAACAAAACCTTTCAAAAACTCGGAAGGAATGGAAACAGAAGAAAGAATCATCAAAATCAGCAAGGCAACAGCATTTTCAATACAATCATTGAGAAATTGCTAGATCATAGAAAGTTTTACTTTTGTAGAATATTGGAAGTCATTAAATTTCTCATGAGAGGAATCAAGATCAAAAATGAACAGAAGTTCATATTCAACAGAAACAAATTTTCATATGCAGCCAAATCAAAATGAGCGTGGTAAAAGTTTTAAAATAAAACTAAAATTGATCTCAATTAGCAGCATTTACAAAGAAAAAAAATCTATTGATTGTTAAGACAAAAATTACAGGGGACCAAGTGAACTTGGTCAATGTTTGATATACTGAATATATTTTCAAATTATTGTTTATTACTTTATGCCACTTACTGCAGAATTTGCTGGTATTGGGCATATTCCTTCCTTCCTAAACTTTTGCTTTACAATTTTGTAATCCCCAGGTTAATTTTCTACCTTAGATTGACCTATCATCCTGGAGAAAAAATATATATTCGTAACTGAATTTTAAAAATATCAAAAAGTGGATTTATAACGGATAATTTGCAGCTGTTTCTTTAAAACTAGTCTTTCTCACATATTCATTTAATTTTAAAAATGCGATTTTTTTTAATCTCTAAATAAATAGTTCTAGGTTTAATAATTACCAGTCCCATGGGTATTATTATTTTTTCTCAATATTTAGATAATTACAGCTGTTTGTTTTTATTATTATTATTTTTAATCACAGACAGGCTGAGCTGAATGTTTTGTTTTTTTCTTGATTCACCAAGATGATTGACGAGGTTACTATTATTGCATCTGATGTAAGAATTGCTTACTTCAGCTTTTTGCTTGTTGATTAACATTAACTGTTAACATTAATGCAGCTTAAATTCAGTATTCTGGGGGTAAAAATAATTTTAAAAAAATACTTAAGCCTTGCTATAAAATAGAAAAAATCTTTCATTATTAATATAATTATTGCAACATAACCTTTAATAAAAAAAAATAAAAAAATATCAAACATTCTGTACTCCTTATCAACATATTCCTGCAGTGCAGAGACAATAACATTCTGAGAGCGTTTGTTGAACTTTTCATGTACTCTGACGGAATTGGGTCCACTTTGTTTACCTCTGGGTACAGTAATATTTCATATTTTGTGGACATTCCACTTAAAAATTGAGAAACCTGTTTGTTCGAATATGAATAATTCTGTTAATTGACTGTCAAGCAAGAATAACAAAGAATACGGATAATAAATGCCTTTAGTGTGTATATTTATTTTATGTTGGAAACGGACACAAAACAAAGGAAAAACAGAAAGATATCGTTTCTCTATGCAAATAAAATAAATCTAATCGTCTAACTAAAATAAATTATATACAAAAAAGAAAATAAAAAATAATGTTTTTGTTTTTTATCTACAATGAAACTAACTTTCACTTCGGTTCTAATAAAAGGAAAAAAATGCTTATTTACAAATTTTGAATTTTTATTATTAATTAAAAAGAAAGAAGTTTACATACTTCCAGGTTTTGGGGAGAATTTATTTAACTAAAAATTCTTCACGAAAGTCAAGATGAATTATGTAACATAAATCATCTTGATTTCGTATGAAGACCAGAATGGTTAAAAATCCGTACAAATACTTGCAAGTAGTGATAAAGATTATGAATATAGCCAGTAAGAAGAGAGAAAATAAATTTTACGCATTTATATACCCTACGACATTTTTAATGACCTTTTTGGTAAACATTTTTGATTTAGTAAGAAAGGAAAAAGGCATGTTATCACAAATCAAAAACGTGATTAAACACTGGCTAATAAAGGACTTTTTTTTTTTAAATCCAAGAATATATGGTCGTCGTCGTCGTCATGTTTATATTTTAGCATATATTGGCACGTTGTTAGTCTTTTTTTCGTTGTTGATTGAATTTAACAACAGGATTTTCACACAAGGATTTATTTATTTAAGACTAGGACCTGTATAAACATTTTTTTTCACGTTATAAAAGCAAAAAAGTGTAATTTAAATACACCAACAAAATAAGCTTAACTGTTTAGAATTGATTACTTCTCAAATTGCTTTTTTTACAGCTTATTTGTTTGTTTGGTTTTTCTATCATCGAGTAAGTAATTTTTATAACAACCTGTCTTTTACTTTTTATGACAATTTGCCTTGATGACTTGGTTCATCTTTTAGATTTAATAAAGCAAAAATGATTACTAAAAAATAAAAATGTTTGCGTACATACATCTGAATATGGAAGTAGTAGATATACTTTTAAAAAAAATTAAAACAAGTTTATGATAAGCATTTTACTTGTTTCTATTACCATTTGTCTTGTATTTTAAATAAAAGTTAATTAACAGCCGTTTTCAAACAGAACTACATTGTATGAAAATTGAAAAAAATAATTGCTTTGTTTTTTCAAAAACTTTTTAGCATTTTATGGTTGATTAAAATCAAAAATTTAAATAAAATAATATAAATTAGAATTAGAATAAGAAATATAGTCTGTTTCAATTCACTGTTAGTGTTGTACTTTTTTTGTTTAAACTAAAAACAATTTGACGGTGTGTGAAAATGTAATTTCATCAGCTTTATTCTGATATCGTTTAAATTTAAATACGCTTGTGCAAACTATGGATATAATGAAGTAAATTTAAAAAAAAATATAGGTAGATAACAAAAAAAAAACATATGGATCTAAGATCGTGCCTTGAGCTGTATCAGTACGTAAACAATGAAATGTAGGTAAAAATGAAAAATAACACTGCTTTGTTGTTTATTAGTAATATATACACTACAACACAGCTAATGAACCATATCAACACTTTACCAGCACTTAAAAAACCACTTTTATTTTAATATAGAAAAAAGATCAGTAACTAGTTGAATTAAAAAGGTGTTTATTTAAGAGATATAGTATAATTTAATACTAATTTTATAATTTAATTTGTATTTTTATGCGTGGAACTCATTTTTCGCGAGGCCTTGACCTTCAAGCAATAATGATAAGTAATAAATAAGTGAAGCATGCCAAGAAACCTTACAAATGAAAACATAAAAACGACAGTTAAACCAATTGAGGTTTATTTGCGATAAATGTAGAATAAATGAGGGTAAAATATGAACATGTTCAATCGAATAAACAAGGTAAGAAGAAATTAATTTACTTTAAAAACGAGCTCAAGTGGATCTGACTCACCCAAAATAAACTCCCATTGCTCATTTCCAAGCGACCTTTCTGGAACAACTTCAAGATCAAGCATGGCTGTTTAGTTTCAGAACTGGCAATCACCAGTCTTTATTTACAAACACGAGTATTTAAGTCTATAACTGACATTGTTTTATCTCATCGATATACTGCTAACTCTCCAGATTCGCCATTTTTGTTTTGCTTCCTAACGCGCATGTGCTAATCTTTCTCATACTTCCGTTTCGCTTTTCTTTCTTTCCAACAACCAGAAAATTCAAGCCTTTCAACAAAACATTTATATTTTTCCCCTAAAAACAAAATTAATTACTAATTGATATAAATAATTTTTATTAAGAAATGAAACTTAATTAAATTTTCAGTCCCGCAGATCAGAATATATTTGTTTACTTATTTATTGTATAAAAAATTAAAAATGCGTGTGGGTCCGTGACCCACTAATAATAATAATAATAATAATAATAATAATAATAATAAATGTTAAATTTATCACAATTAAAATTGTTATCAGTAATAATAAAAACGTACAATTCACAGAAAATCTAATTTGATTAGTGAGTAGAGATTATTTTTTCTAACAATTGAGGAAAATTATTATTTGCAGTAAAATGATAAAATAAAAAATAATAATAAATAGCAAACGCTTTTACAAAAAATAAACAAAACATTCTAGGGTTACCGCCCAGTTTCGATACAATTCGCTTTTCTATTCGTGTTTTCCCTTCTATCACTGTCACAAAAAAATTGTCAACATATAAAACTCAATTAATTGTGAAAGACGACAAAACTGGGTGTGAGAAGCTTTAACCCAATCAAGACATTGGTCGAATCATTTTTAATTAGAAGGGCTGATTGTACAAAATTTCCAACAGTTTTTCAGCCCTCCGACTTCTGGGGGCGGCTCATCTAGATATTATTGATATCGATTATTTGCATAACAACTCACTGGGATTGCAGAACGAATGACGTCTATGAGAGCTTCGGCAAATTCCTTTACGAAAACTTCCATATAAGGCAATAGCCGGCTTTTTCCGAAGTTAGAAGTTTTAATGAGGCTGGAAAATTGACCAATCAAAAAGTTTGATTTCATTCCAAACCTATCCCAGCTTTGTTGTGGTTTACGATGAATGAACTAGGTTGAGAAAGCATGCGATCATTTGTAGGAAACACGTTGTGTCGTGAACTTGTGAATATTTTCCGTACAAAGATGCCACGAGTTGTTCCTGATCAAAGAGACAAATTCGAACACGATGAATTATTTCGAAAACTCAGCCACGAAGGCGAGGTAGGTGTACCTAAATTTAAAAACCATTTACCCGGAAGTTGAATCTTTTTGCTTTATGCACGTCTTTCTCTTTACGTTGCGAACTTAGTTGCGTAGTTAAAATACCGATACTCTTTCAGGAAGAACGACGATCACTAAAAGAAATATTCCTTTTTCTGATTTCATTTTCAGATAAAATACACGGGATTTCGTGACAAACCTCAAGAAGAACGGCAGCTTCGGTTCGAGACCGAATGTCGGGAAGGACACGCTGACATAGTAAGTAAAATATTTCCCAGCTGTGAGCGTTGTGAGGTGCGTGTGTGACATCTTCCACTCCTTCTTTCGCTCTTCCTTTTACTGACAGTCGTTATGTCGTGTTGATACCTTTCTGGACTTTATTATCGATCCTTCTTATGTCTTTTTTTAATATTCATTTTAAACACAACAAATATGAAGATTACAATAAATATTAATAAAATAGACAACCATTCTGCGCATTTGTTTCTCTCTCTCTCTCTCTCTCTCTAAAAAAGTAAGAAGACTGTGTATAGAACTCCAGGGTCTTACCACGGTACCACCTCTCTTCATAAAATGTTATTTATTTTCCTAAGCAGAAACTTAACTTATCTATATACCAATGTTATATATACCACAATTTACTACTGCTATTTTTATTTATTTTTTTTTTTACTTATTTATTTTTCTGAGAATATTGTATGCGTCTTACTATTCTGACCCGTTTCGGTTTATTTCCTGTTTTTTTTTCCTCGCCAATTTACTAAGTAAACATTAAAAAAAAATTAAATTGTTAATATTTCTTTTCAGGCGTTTGTTGCTACAGGAACGACCCTTCAGTTGAGTTTTGCGGCAAATGCTTGGTCAGACAAACCAGAAGACAGAAACCCAACCACAGAATTTGTTAATTTTGAAAGAGAACCTGGAAAGGTAAGTGCTTTATTTATTGACAATTATTTGCTTTTTCTAATGCTTCCATTTTTTTTTTCCCTAAAAATAATAAAAAAAAAAAAGAAATAATAGAGAAATTGATTTTTTTTTGTGTGCGCCTCTTTTTGTCGATTTTTCCGTAATGTTGAATAAGAAGATTCTTAAAAATATAACGTTCTTTAACGACCAAAAATAAGTTACTTAAAAATAAAACCTTTTTTTCTAAAGAATTATTTAATAATAGCAAAGATTAAACGCTTAAGACTTAAGCATAAAAAAATTAAATTGGCAATTAGTTGATTTTTATTTTTTATGATAATTCTTTTTTTAAAAAAATCTTTTCATTTATTAATAAAAAAGCATAATCGATTCAGTTTTTGTTTTAATTTTGTATTATGACTATTTAAAAGTACATTATTATTCAATATAAATAACTCTTGTCTTGTCACATCAAAATAAAAAGAAAGAAAAAAGCTCTTTTTTTACTTTTTATAAGCGAAGCCGAAGCGTCACTAAAAAGTGGCGCACCCCCAAAGAAAACGTGGGGATTTAAACCTTTTGAATATTAAAAATTTAAAATGAGTATAAAAAATGTTTTTATTAGACTTAGAATTAAAAATAAAAATAAAAATCGTCTATAAAATTAAAATTAACATAATCAACATAAACCTGTTCCTTAATTATCAAAATTAGTTGCACAAACTTTTTCTGTTTTTCCATTTAAAAAAAAAAATCTTATTTCCACTTGTCTTTGTCATTTTTTTGTCTACTTGAGCGTGACTAAGTGATTACAACTCTCGTCACCTTCATTTTGCTCCCTTCTTTAATGGTTGTCATTCGTTTTTAATATTATTGATCAGTTCAACTTCTTGACCCCTAATAATAATGGCACTGACTGTGCTGTAGCAGTCAGCTTTATAAAAAACAAGTCTATGACGTTTCTCTTATTTCCCTTATATTTTTTTAATTAGATAAACTCTAGATCAATATTTTAAAAATTGTATTTTTGGCATTGTTCAAATGAACTTCCACTTTCTCTTTATGGTCAACTCGATGTTTGAAAAGTTCCATGTTTTGGACCTGCTTTAGACAAAGGGTTTCTCCTTGTTCCTTAACCCTGACTCTCCCACTTCTTCAGTTTGGGACAAAGCAAATGTATTTAATTTATGCTAATACATTCTATATAATTATATTTTATTTTTCTCTATAATTATCATGTTTAATTTAATTGATCCAGTCTTTCTAATATATCAGTCTATAGATTACTGATTATTAAAATTAATTTGAAAGGATTTATTATTGGCTACTTTTTCTTTCATTTTAATAAATGTCTCCTTGTGTTCTTCCTTTTTCTCTTTACCATTCTGATTACTCATTTATTAAAAAATTTAAATTTGTACTGAAGTTTTTCATTTTACAAGAATAGCTTTTGTGGTCTTTATTCTTAATTTATTCAAATTTAGTCTTTCAAACACACATTTCATTTTTTTTTTTTTTTTTAGTCTGTTTGTTTTTTATTTTATTTTTATTTTGCTGTTTGGAAATCATATTTTAAGTTTTTATTTTCTTATATTTCAAAAAATCTTTTAAGAAAAAATATTCTTAGCAGAAATTTCTTATATTCACTTCAAATACTTTAAATTTGATTTAAAATAGTTTTCTTTGTATGTTTTTTTTTTGTTCATGTGTACAATGAGTATGATTCAGTTTTTTATAAATTTGAAGTAATACATCTCTATCTTTTATTGTCATTAATTAATTTTTCTTTGTGTCCCATGATACAGTATTAGGTCTCTCATTTGTGATAATGAATTTTGATAATGGTAATTTTGACACCATGTTATCAATTTTAAGATTTAGCTTTGCCTCCATTTAACAAAAGATCTTTTCATCTTGTTTGCACAATGCATCAACTTGTTTCTTTTTTTTTATCACTTCTTTTATCTCTGAGTAAATATTTTATTACCTAATATTAATATATATATATATATATATATATAGTTTGTAACACAATGCTAGATTATTTTATTATTTTAAAAATATATGTATATATTAAAATATTTTAAATAGACAAAACCTTTGTTCATTTCAGATGGTCATTTACTAATTATTGGAAGGTTTATTTATTTAACAATATCATTTTTATTTCAATTTTTATATATTTTAAAATCTTTGTCTTTAAATTGGAATATTGATTTAAAAACGTTTTTATTATGTTAATTGAATTTATTTTTTTAGTTTAAATCAATGGATTTTAAGGCATTTATTACTTTTTGAAATGATCATAACCTAACAATTTCATTTAAAAGACTTTTATTCTTCTTGAATAAGATAACTTATTTTATTTATTTTTATATTTTCATGTAATTTTTACGGATATTTTTCTGAAATCAAAGTAAAAAAAATACTTGTCTTATACTCCTGTCTGCTTTTCGACCAACCCACATTATCATAATAAAATGCAGGAAATGTTCTTTTAGTTGTTATTTCCTTGAAGACTCTTGCTCTACTTGTAATGATGACATACAGGATGGGAACTTAGTTATTTTACTTGTAAGCTATTTATCACTGTCATACTAGTTGAAGTTAATGTCTTTTGTGGTTATATTCCTCTTTATGCTTAACTCAACAGGTCATCTGTCAATGTGTTAACTTGATTGTCAAGAATCCTCTTGTTTTGATTTTAATTCTGATGAAAATTTCTTTATCCATTTTTGTTAAAACAAAATTAACTAATCTCCTATATATTCTTTTTTTCTTTTCATTTGTTATCAACTTAAACAAATGTTTTCAAAATAATCCTAAGATAATGTTGAGTGACTGTATTAAAAAAACATTTTTACCAAATTTGAATCATAACTTTTATTGTTTTTTTTTTTCTCAGTCACTTTTCTTTCTTTACACATTTTGTATGATTTTTAATCTTGTCTTCCAGGTTCATTTAAAATCTCAATTTATTATGAATGGCGTTTGTGTGATTTGGCGAGGCTGGATTGATCTCCGGCGCTTAGATGGAATTGGGTGTCTGGAATTTGATGCTGGAAGAGCAGAGGTAAGTCTTTGTGATATATTATCATTCTTAGTGATAAGCTTCTTAATTTTTATAAGTACCTTCATTACTTTTAAATCACAATCTCTGTAATTTATAATTAACTAATTAGACAATATACTGTTCACTTAATTACTGGGCTTCTTTTTATGTTTAATTTAAACATATAATGATTACATTTAATCATTTAAAAATATCAACAGAAGTTATTTAATTTAAAATATAGTAAATTACTTGTAAATTTTCATTTTTTTATGTTTTAATGTTTTGCCATAAATTATGGTTCAATTATCTTTTTATCAAATTCAGTTTCATGTACACAAGGCTCATCAAGGTCTGATAAATCTATTGTTGATCTAGCTCTCTGTAGAGCACTTTCTTTACAAAAAGTCTATTCACTTAGAAAATCATTAAATGCTACTATTTTGTTTACATATATAATGACATAAGAATGATTAGTTTATGTATTAACAATTAATGAGCCCCAGAAGAAAAGAATAACATTAGGATTAGTGTTATTTGTTGTTTGTGATGTGAATTTTTTTTTTCCCTCCAGGGGTCAATATTGTATGTAATTGACTTACTCAAAGTAAGTTCTCTGCATATATCTAAATTCATTGTCTGCTTGACCTGCTATTGCTTTTCAAATAAAATTTAAGTAACATTCAAAGCTTGTTTATTTTTTAAATCATTTACTGAAAATAACCGAAAAAGAACAAATGCTCTTTTTTTTAATAAAAGTGATCTATTTTATTTTTAATTAAAAAAAAAAGATTCATTATTTCCTCTTTAACTAATTTAGTCTATCTATTGGTCTATCTATTTAGTCTATCTATTGGTCTATCTATTATGTCCTGCAAATCTTATATAAATTCTATGATTTGATTGTGATAAATTAATCATACTGGCCTATGATAGTGTAAAGAAGGATAATTGATTGAAAAGCAACACATGCCCTGTTATTATTGTAACCTTTAGAAAATGATTTTCTCATAGTTAACCACAGTGCACATGTGTTGATCTCCTAACTACTAAATATTAAAGTAGATTCTTATTAGAGCTGGGCATCCAAATTCATTTCTCTTCTGTGTTTTTTCTTGAGTTTTAATGGGTTTTCTAATTTCCTTTCAAATGTCACTCACACATGATGGCTAAAAGACCATTTTGTAATTAGTTGATATTTTTTTCTTTCAATTCATTGAATAAGAATGGTTAGAGTGAAATGTAAAATAAGCCAGCCTTTAATTATTCATGAAGGGATCTCTTTCTAGCTTTTTTTCAACTGATTATTATTATTGTTGTTATTATTATTCTAGAGATGAAAGAAAGGGAAAGAAAAGCAAAAAGGTTGAATGCAACAAAGCTGACAAGGAAGTTGAAATTTCTCTCTGTAATTGATGAAAGCCATTTTTTTCTCTTTTCTAAAGAATACTCTCTCTTCTAACAACCTTCTCCTTTCTCTTTCTCATTATGACCACTTGCAAAAGTTCCAAATCCCTAGTTTTAATTTTTTTGCTGCCTGCTGCCTAGAAAGGAAGGAGTCTTTTCTGGGAGGAGATTTGCAGTTGGAATTAGGGGTTTTCATTGGGACATCTTATTGGGTCTACACTCAGAGTTGCAGCACTGAGTATGGGGTTGTGTAAGCAGATACACATATAGTGCCTAATCTCTTAATTAAGCCATATGTTGCTTAGCATTGAATAAATGCACATGCCATAAGGGAGTTTCCTCTGCTGAAGGGCCTAGTTTGTCAGTGTTGATTTTCCTCCTCTTCTTTGCTCCCTCTTCAATCCTCACTCAATTACACACACACTTTGACCTTCATCTTACATCCATCTGCCACCTAGAGACTGGAAAATACCTAAGACAAAAGAAACAAAGGCCTTTAGAACAAAACTGGGGCCTCTGCAGACGTCCTGAACCCACACACTCCTCTACTGCACATGTTAACCAACAATAGCTGTCAGATGGTCTACCACCCCAACACACCTTATGAAATTCATAAGTTGGGCCTGGCATAACAAGAAAATTAAACTTTTGTGGGACAATGGGAACAAAAAGACAAAGAAGAAAATCAATACCTGGCTGAGAACATAGCACAGATCAGCTGCCCACCAAACCTCACACCTTTATTAGCTTCTATTTTTTTTAATTTGGGGAAGGCAAAAGGTGCCCTAAGAACCATATGCAGACAGCTTCCTAGGCCTGCAGGCTTATAATAACAGGAAAACCAATTAAAATCTGGCATTGTTGCCTGTTTAATGTAGACAGCTGATGACATTTTTTCTCTCACTTTTAAGCCACTCATTTTGAACACCCTAGGGTCACCTTTTGTCAGGTCTTGCTTTAATTTACCTTATCAGCTGCTAGAAACCAGTCTGCCTTGGACACCCATTACTTGTCCATCTCAACATGGCAGAGAGAAAAGTGTTTTTGTACAAGGGAAAGTTCCAGGTGATATGTATAACATCGGAAGCAGCCCTTAGGAAAAGTAAAAGAAATTTGAGCTGTCCTTGAAGAGTTCACATGGGAAACTTTGATATTTCAAACAGGATGAGAACCCATGCTGCAGTTGGTATAAATAGTTAATAACACTTGTGTTGATAACTTTAAAAAGAGAAGGGGAAGAAAAGAAAGTTATATTCTAATATAAATGCAGTTTAAAAATAGGAAATACCCTACAGTTATTATTATTATCCCTATGTTTATATTAAGGGAAAAAAGGGAAAATGATGAATTAGATTAAGCAACAATAACCTTTTTCCTGAATGTTGTATATGCAGGTTGAAGATGCCTTGCTTCGAGAACAGACAGACCAATACAACAGAAGAATACGAGATTATGAAGAGAGACAGAGACAGAGACAATTTAGAGAAGAAGAAGAAGAAAGGAGAGCAGAGGCTGAAGCAGAGGTAGTAAGAGCTTTGTTGCGTATATCAGAAGATTGCAAATCTTGATATGAAATTGAACTATTATAAAATTGAGCTTTCTAATTTTTTGAAAAAAGAAAATATGTTTTAATTTTTTTTCTTGGTAATTTAATTCCTCATTTTTATTATCTTCAAGGTACAAAGATTGTATTTAAAATGGACTTAAAAATAATTTAACTACAATTTCTTGTACTTGTGTCTATGTATACAAGCATGAATGTGTGAAAGTATATAGTGTTATGTTATATATATATATATATATATATATATATATATATATTTTATGTGTGGATGTGTTTAATATTATTACATCCTGTTTGGCATTTTACTAGTCATATTTTAATTTGTTTTTGTTTTTTAGTTTTTGCTACAATCTCCTTTTCATTTTTTTTCTGATTTTATTGTGAATTAGGGTTAGGAAGGAATTACTCTTTCATTTTTTTTTTTTTTTTCTCTCTCCAGATTTTGAGTGATAAAAACAAAGAAATTAAATATACTTTTCTTGTTCTCCTTAATATCTAGCAAGTTATTTTATAATCTTTAAAGTTATGTTCTGTAAGCAAAAAAATTGTTTTAGTAGAATTACTAGAAAATTGGGTAACATATCAATATAGAAATGAGAAAGAACTTTTCTCTTTTGTTTCATAAGCAAAAAAATTAATTGACTTTATGTAAAGTTATTTATTTGAACTATTCTTTATTCTTTGGTTACATTATATTTTAATTCATTTTATTTTGCTTTTGATTCAATAAAAATTTATTCATGTCAAGTGATCATTTTATTTATCAACTTTCAAAGCATTAGGTAAATATTAAAACAGTTTGAACAAATATGAAAGTAATCAATTATTTTTATTAACAAAAAATGTCTTTAAGCAATTTTTCTCTTTACTTAAAAAAAAGTTTTGGTAACATTTTGTTCAATAAATCCTAGATAGAAAAATGAAATCTATTTTTGTGAGAGATGTAAAATTCTCATTACTTCATTTTGTTATTAACATATTGGGTACTATAAAAAAACGTTTATAGTACCTGTTTTATCTTTTTTTTTTTTTTTTTAAATTGGTACATTATTTTTCATGTAAAGAATATTATTCTCTCTGACAAAAATCATATATGTGATTAATTGTGACATAAAAAAACATTTATAATAATTGCTAAAATGTCTAAAATACAATTTAAGACAACCCTTCAGGCAATTAAATTGACATGTCCACAAGTAACTATATACAAAAAAAATGTCTGATTTTAAAAAAAAAAAAAAAAAAAAAAATCAAATCTCATTGAAAATAGTAAAAAAATATATAAGAGCAATTGTTAAATAGTTTTTTCTTTGGTACAAACCAGTATTTTGCAAGAGATGGAAGAGACTGTAAAAAACAACTTGTTAAAAACACAACCCCAAGAGCAAATCATCACTCTGTTATAGCACCATAAATCAATAAATTTGCACTGTGAATTTAGAGTTACCTCCCCCTGCCTAATACAGGCTGGAAGACAGCTATTCTCTGAATGATTGTCTAGTTTTGCAAGTATTAAAGAGTATTTTCTTGAAATAAATGCTAACATTGTTAAGATTTTAATTGATCTTTGTGCTCAAGAGTGGATCTTTTTGTTCTTGCTCTCAAAGTTTTCTTTTCAGCCTATTTCTTTGCATAAATACTAGGTAATTTTATGTGAATTAGTATTAAAGTTCAGCAAAGACACATGCTTTTAAACAAGTGTAGTCTAGTTTTAGCTACATCTGCTTGAAACCAACAAAGGGTAAAGTGGCAGGTCCAGGCCCACATTTGCTCTGATAACACAATAGCACACACTGGGGAAAATAGAATAAGTGTGTTTTGGCAGAATCTTAAGTTACCTCACTTGGCATAAACCTCTACCTATTTGATAACAAGTAGATTTTACTTGCTTTTGAGAGGAGCAAGGACACAGGCCTTAAAGCTATTACTACTTGAAATGTCCTTTAGTAATTTTAGAGTAGAATTTTTAAAAATTATTCTAAATTGGATCTTTCTTCCCTAATCCATAAAGTTAAAGGATAAAAATCATAAGTTTTACAGATTAGTGTTTCCTTTTGTTTTAAAAAAAATAATTTGAGCTGTTTAGAGATATACCTATTGTTGACTGAAATAGAAATAAGTTCTAATACCTTTTATAATTATAATGCTTGCAATTAAGTTTACAGTATTATAAGTGAATGCAGACTTTTTCATATTTTAGTATCTGCTATTAAAATAAAAATTAATGGATTTTACTTTTTTAAATGTTTATTTGTTTAATATATATTTATATTTAATTTTTAATTAATATAAAACAAATTGCAAAGCTCTTCATTTACAATATAGTAAATATTCCTATTAGTCTATTAAAACCATAGTATAAAAAAGTAATAAATCAGCTGAATTAATAATTCATACAATGTTAAAGATATCATTATTATGAAAATTAGCTCACAGTAATACAAATTATTTTTATTAATATTTTTCCCTTCCACTACTATAGCATTATTCAAATGTTAAAATTAATCTCAACATAAAGAAAAAAAATCAATAGAACTTCTGCAAATAATCAATAATCTTTGAGAAGTTTTTAGAATGTATTTTTAAAATGGGCCAATAAATGTCTTTTTGTATAGACACAATGCATTTTAATGTTTTGGGGACTTTATCACATTGTTCATTGTGGTTGAGAAGTTGGTTGTTATTGTGATAAGATGGAGAAGAGGAATGTAAAAGATTATTTGAAGACCTTTGTTATTGCAGCAACACAAAACAGTTTAAAATAGATTTCAGATGTAGAATAAAAGCAGCTGAAAGAAGTCTTAGGAGCAAATAGTCAAGTTTCTGCTTCATTTTTCAAAATTTTTTTTTTTTTTTTTTTAAATTTTGTTTTATTATTCAAACCAACTACAAACAAAATTAACTATTTGATTTGAAATGTGTGGCTAATTTTTCTACCCTTAAAAGTTAACATTTTTATAAGTGACTTTCTTTTAGTATTTTTTTTTTTATATATACAATGAGTTTTTGTTTTATAATGTGAATGACATATTTGGGAATAATTCTCTTATTGTAACATGATTAAAAAAAAAATAATGATCATTCTAAATTTATTTTCCAAAGTAAAAGAGAATACAATTCTATAATCATTATAAATTTAATTTGATATTTAACTTTTTTTAATATGAATAAAAATGGCATTTAAGGAAATATTTCTTAAAAAAAAAAAAATCTTAATATGGGGAAATTAATGTATAATTGTTATCTTCTGATTTATATTTTTCATAATTAAATGTTGTTGGCGCGGGGGTGGCTATTTGTTGTTTTTCTGATTTTTTTATTTATTTTTAAAAAATGTTTTTTTCTTCACCCTATTCACACCTCCTTCTCCCTATTTTCGATTGCTATTATAAATTAATAGCAAAAATAAATGCTATAACTGGTGATAATGCATTTTGTCTGCCTTGGACTATTTGAACAGAAGAAATTTGAAATGTTTCTGTCTCTCTAAAAATCACCACTTTCTTGCTTTGCGAGTTTTCTTGGAAAATGAAAATGTTTTAGTTCTGTGTAGTATCTCCACTTAAAAAAAAATGAAACTCTGAACATGTATTTTATACGAATTAAAGAAAAGAAATCTGCAATAGTTGATCATTACGGAGGTCTTTCTTCTTAAATTTCTATTGTTTAAACTTGTACAGTCTAAGTCTCCTTTCTTTTTTTTTAAAAAAAAAAAAAGAAAAAAGTTGCGTTTTGTTTTTGCGTTTTTGTTTTGTTTTTTGTTTTTTTTTTTGTATTTAAAAAATATTGTTCCGTGACGAAAGTATTTATTTTTAACTAATTTAAAAATACTATTAACAACCTCATTAGTTAGATAGATTAAGTAATATCTAATTAAATTATATTGTTTAATTAACCTTCTAAAGTACTTCTGATTTTAAAACTCGATACCAGGCACTAAAAACTGTTTTCATTTGTTTATTTTTTTTCCCATTAACAATAATAATAAATGAATGATGAAAGGAGATAACTGTGTATTTTCAACAATTTAATTTGGTGAATAGAAAGATATTATAATAATGTAAACTAAATTTGTAACTTTTCCCTTGCTAGTATGAATTAACATAATTAATTTCGTAAGAAACTAAATGTGCTGTTCACGGAGAATTTTTCATCATTTAATGAGTTCTCTCCCTTAGCTAACTTGATTTGTTAAAAAAATAAATAAATAAATAAAATTATGCAGACGCATAGCCAGCGACTAAAAACACATGAAATTTGTAAATTACTGTTGGATTAATATTTTATCCTGTCAATTAGTTAATTAAATTATCCAAATTAGATCCTTTTGACTTTCATATGTTTTGTCTATTGAAGTCTTTTATTTTTTAATTATTACACACTTGAGAATCATAAGCCAATTCATTTCCTTCATAGAGTAATAATTAGTTAGCGATAGTTTATCCAACCATTCTATTAAACCCCTTTGTAATTGAAGTTAAACACCTGTAATGTATATTGATTTACTAGTTCTTTTATTTGCAATGTTTTCTTGTCATTTAGCTTAATATAACGATCAAAGCATGACTGTTTACTCTTTGCAAATCATTGAAAATCAGCCACTAAAAATAATTTCGTTATCGTTTGTTTGTCATAAAATTCAGAATTAAAGCTCGGCTCCTAACTAAATGCAATCCGATAATTCTATCCCTCTATAGCTATTGTTAAATTCAGTATGAATAGCAAAATTATATGCATAATGAATGAACATGTATTATAGACAAAGACGAAAACTGGCTTTTTCTCAGCTGGATCTAGCCTCCCTTTCTTTCCCTCTATTTCAACCAAATATTGTTTTTGTTATGAAACATCCTAGCATTGATTTTTGGCTTCACTAAACAAACCCAAGTGTTGAATTCATTACCAGTTAAAAAAAAAAATGTCAGCGGGGATGATTTTCATCTTTGAAAGAAATATTAGCTATGACTTCATATTTGTTTGCAAATACACTTAATGATTGTGACCTGCATTGATATATTTCCTTCAAAATTTTATTGTTAAGTAGGGAATATCATTGATGTTTAGTTGAACTGGGATGGTTTGAGATAAGACATCTATCCAGTGTCTTATTTTTTTTTTTTTTTTTTTTTTTTACTAGAGTTGTGCTGTTAAGGTTTATTGGGAAGTTAGTAAAAATACAAATACACTTTAATACAATGTAGAATTTATCAAAGCTTTTATCTTTAGTTACAAGTTGATAACCTGCTAATAAAGTAAACCTGTTGTATACAGTAAGAGTAAAATAATTGTTACAGTAAGATGTTAAAAAATGGTGTACAATTAATGAAAGCACCATTAAGATAAACACATTTTCAAACCTTAAATTATTTTATTGTAAACAAATAATAATTTAAAAAATTAAATATTATTTTTCTTAATTTTGTACTTGATTGCTTTGCTTTTTTAATTTCCCCTTTTTTTTTTGCTTTTTTTTTTTTTTTTTTTTTTATTCTCCTTGAAACTTATTTTAAAAAAGAATACTTTATATTCCTGGGAAAATTTACAAGAAAAATAAACTCTAGTTGTTTTCTTTACTTTGAAAATATTTGTTAATGTTTGATTTTTATTATTACAGAATTTTATTTAAAAAAAGAAAAAAATTTATTTTATTTTTTTTTTTTTTTTTTATTTTATTTTTTTTTTAATTTAACCTGTTTTTTATAACCTGTTGTTAATTTGTTAAAATCTACAAAATGTGTGATAATTTTTGAATTGTAATTTGGGTTTCTTGCTCAAACTGTTTCAAATATTTCTGTTTCATTTAGGCTGGAAACTACTTTTAGTTTTCCAGATAATTGGGGGCAGGAATTCTTGGGTGTAACTTCTCAAAGTTGATTGATTCTTATTAATTCTTACTTTCTGTTGTTTCTTGATATCTCCACCCTTTCCCCCATATTATTTGTCCTGAATTTAAATGTCTGGTCTATATCATGACAAAGATTATCAATAAATCTTTTTTAAAATATAGCTGATTCTTATATGTTTGTTTTTAATCTAAAATAACCAGTTTTGTGTTCAGCTCACTCTAACCCACTGCTGCATAATATATACGAAGGCAGATTTTAAGTTTATAAATGGCATTAAATACCAAAAATACAGCTAATCATGTTAAGTTATGACATTTGAACTGTAAAATTGACAAATATTGATCTTACTGTAAGCAATCATCAGAAATATCTTAAATTTATGTTCAATATTTCTGACTTTTGACTATTGTTATCACTAGTTAAAACAGCTCTCTGCAAAATTCTGTAAAACCTATTTGTCAGGCAATTTTCATATAAGCTTTGTACTTTAAATCTGGCTTAACCTTTCTCAAAGTATAAGGTAGAAATCTTTCGATAAAACTTCCTACCTTTATACTTTCTAGAAAGTAAAGTATGTGGAGCAGCAAAAACTAATCTTAAAAGCATGTTCTAACAAACTAACAGGTCTTTACTTTGCTTGAAATAAAATTCATGATTCAAATTGTCTTCTTGTCAAATAGTTTGTTTGAGATAATGTATACAGATGGCCTTCTTTATAATGAATACATATATTCAAGATTATTTTAATTATGTGGATGTCCTCTTCAAATTATTGCTAGTGTATTTACTATAGTCACTTTCAGATTTTAAAAGCATTTGCTGACATTGATTTCCTTTGTTTTTCTTAATTTATAATAAGCATTTCTGTTTAACTGAAGATAACTTTAGCCTGCCTCATGGCTGAAATAGCTGAATATTTTCTACTAGTAACAGAAGCTAGTTTTCAAGCATTAATTTATTCATTGATTTTTCTCTCTAGAAAAGAAATCTTTCTTCTACTTGGAAGACTGATGCAATACATTTTTTCTTCCTTCATTTCATAAGCTAGGCTGAGTAAATATACATACAGTGTAACCCAGATATAAGAGAGTTGTCGGGACCGGAGAAGAAGTCTCTTATATCCGGGTTTGGTCTATTTTATATACATTAACACAGGCTCTAATTTGGGACCAGAGACAATCTCTCTTATATCCGGGTTTCTCTTATATCCGGGTCACACTGTATTATCAACTTCTGTTTAAAAATAAAAAGTGGTAATTTTTAAATAGATGTAATTTAATTTTGAAATTTTAAAATATTTCACTATTTCAGATAAAGTATTTGTATTCAGAAAAAGGTCTGTAAACATTATTTCATTTGGAAGGCTTTGATAAATTGACGATTTTTAAATGACTAAATTTTTATAATAAAGAAATTGTGCTGTTTGATGTAAATAATTTAAGAAAATTCATCATGCTTCATAATAAAGTATTTAATAAAATCTTATAAAAATTATTTATTCCCACCTGGTGATTTCTAGCAGAATGACACTCAGTTGTGGAATTGGTATGTAGCAACACTAGCTATTTAATTATTTTCTAATATATATATATATATATATATATATATATTAAACTTGGCAGTTAGCCTAATGAACTACCAGCTGTGTTAGCTGTTCATAAGATTCATCTAGAAAGTTTTTACAGCTTAGATGTTTTATTTATATTTGGACTGTCTAATAGCACAATATAATGGTGTACTAGTGTGGGAGAGGGATTAGACTGTTAGTGTTCCAAGAATAAGGCTTGGATAACTTCTTAGTATCTGTGGGGGGAAATGATCTCAGTATGTGACATTGTTGGAAAGTGCCTTGAAGACCAAGCCTTGTGAGGGGAAATTGGGTTGATAATGTTCAGAAGCCATGGATGGTTATGATATACACAAAATCATAAGTAATTATGACCGAGAGTTTGTGTGTGGATTGGCCTTGTTCAAACTGATAATAATACCAGTTTTTTCTCCCCCCCCCACCACCTCATGTCTGTTCGGTGTAGTTGCAGCATATAACCCAGGTTAGCTTGGGGGTAGGGTTGAAAAAATGTGCTTGAGCAAGTGTCTTCAACAGGGATTAGCTAGGCATTCTAGCAGATGGGCATACTCAGAAAATTAGCAACTAGCCATTATTAATATAGAGTAATGGCTTATTTTTGATTTCTGCTGGCTATTTTTATTCTTATTGAGAATTCTTATTTAAAAATCTTCCTTTTTTTTTTTTTTTTTTTTCTGTTAGTCATGCAAAAAATACTTGTGGTTTTAATCCAGTATTTTATCTTTTCACTTGCACAGCTAATAGATGTTAAACTTTAAGCAGAAGTATTGATAAGATGATATCAGTGTTGATTTAAGCAGTATTTATCTGAGTAATATTTAGAAAAAGGCATGAACTGTATGTTGCACATACTCAAGTAAATAATTCTAGTAACAATCATTAGTCTAGAGCAATCGTTAATATACATACAAATGTTAATTACTGATATGTAGATATAATCATCTGATTAGTAATTTTTTTTTTTTTTCAAAGTCATCAGAAATTGAATTTAAAGCTCCACATGATGCAAAATTAAAAAAAAAAGAACTAGTAAAGGCACTTTATACATTAATCCATGCATCTTAAACATTGTCTTCAGTGTTTTTTTAAAAAAAAACTACATCATTCAGCACTCAAAATGAAATTTGTAATGACTTCTGTAAAATGCTAATCCAATTGACTTTCCAGTTTTCTAATTCTAGAAGGAATTTGCTTATCTAAGCTTAATTTAATACCATTCAGTGTTTACTCTTGAAGGAATTTTCTTCTGCATCAGACACACTAGTTCCAGTTAAGCCAATATACTCCGTGTGCTATTCTTATGTTTCCAAATAGTTTCAGGTACGTTAATAATGATCTCTTCAAAATATTTTATCTGAATAAATTTTTACTTTTCATTTTTTTGCTTATTTATATTTCTCTTTTATTTTCTTTTTTTTTTTTTTTTTTTTTTTTAGAAAAGACAAATATTATGCTTATAAATAGTTGATAAGCAAAATAATTGAAACCTTCTAATTATGATAAAGAAAATTAAATGTGTATGCATGTGCACAAACCAATGTGTGCATTTTGCAGTGTAGGTTGGCATATGACAGTTATTGGCATGGAAAGGGTGAATAAGTGCAAATTTCAGTTGAGTCTGTTGGCATCTATTAATTTCACACTAATACACTGAGGAAAGATCAATTTACTTCTCCCTGTACTTTGTCCTGTTGCTAGATGTCTTGAAAAAAGATCTTGCTTTAACACTAGCATAAAACTATGGATGATGGACAAGTACTTGGACAAATCATTCACCCATGACTACCTTCTCTACTCTGATAGTAGTAGCAAAAGGTTATTATATTCATTGTCAACTTTGATAGTATATAAGTTTAACTTAGTCTGGCACAGGCCAATATAGTGAGTCAACTGGTGAAGATCAAACTTGGTAAACTAACAAGTCTCCAAGACTAATTTGCTGACTCCTACTCTGTCAGGTTGTCTGTATGAGAGAGAAAATGATGTTGATCAAATTTGTCTAGCTGGCATGTAGTTAACTGAATTTTGAACTGAAATTCTCATTTTATAATGTTAACTATACATAAGTATTTACTATTGAATAGAAAGGTTGTTGAAAAATAAATATTGTATAAAATTTTACTTTTTTTTTTTTTTCATCATCACTAGTCTATAAACTTAGTGATGTACCACATAAGTATTTATATAGATAAATAATACTACTTTAGTGTTTTTTCTTTTTCATTGAAATTAATAAATTCATGATTTTTGCATGTCTTTAATCAAATGATTGAAATGCATCATTAATATAGAAAGGGAGTTTTGAAAAGGTTATATCCCACTTCTCCAAATCTGACTAAATGACTTTTTAAAAATCCCTTCTTGGTTGAGCCAAGAACTTTTCAGTGTCCCCTCATAAGATTATAAATGCAATTAAAAACTAAGATGAAAATAAATATGCAATCTGATAAGCAATTTATTAGTGAAGATTATTAGAATATAATTTCAAAGATTAAAATTGTTTAATCACTGTTTCACATAAATAAAAAATGTTCATTAGAGTTTATAAATTGAAAATTTTTACCTTGTCTTTCTTTAAACTGAATTGATTTCTTGGGTGATGTAAAGTTATTTATATCATCTATTTATATATTTAAATCCTTTTTAACCTTGAGAAGAGGCATTAAGATAACAAATTATGTTGTAACAATTAAACTCTAGTATTCTTGATGTTACATGCAGTTGAAAAATGAATCAGATGTGATATCATCAAAAACATGAAGTTCAATTGTTCAAATAAAATTTGGAATGCTAATTTATTTGATTACAAATCCCAGACATCATTCTTTATTTGCTAGTTGTAAGATAAAAAATATTTCAAATATTTTTTCCACACAATTTGATTCTTTTTATATTTATCTTTCAAAATTACAGTTTGAATTTCAAGAATTCAAATTATTACCATTTCAACTTCCAGAAATCCTATGTTAGCAGTTTTAAAAAGAACTTTTCCTCATTCAATTTTTAAATTGTTTTTTTTTTTTTATACTAAAGTTTATAATTAATTAAATTAAAAAAAAAAAAAGAAAAAAAAAAGAAGCAAAACAGACTAATACTGTTATCTAAATAAACCCATTAACATGTACTGGAATGTGTTAAATTATTTTTTGAGCTCATATAATTCTCAGTTTATGGTGTCTTTCAAAGGTAAAGTCATAAACCTTAAAATCAGTTTTTGTTAAAATGATCAGATAGTTTCATTTTTTTCTATGTTCAAAATTCTGCAAGCAGCTTCTGTGTTATTGAGGTCAAGTTTTAAAAAATACCTTAAAATTGCTAGAATCTTAATATTTGTATCCATCATTGTAACATCAAACAAAAAATACACCAAAATATTTATAATGATATTAAATATTTTATCATAGTCTATAGATATGGACATGATATAAACTTGGGAGTAAAAAGATCTGAACAAAAATGTGAATTCTTCTGATACACCTTAATATTTTAGTTGATCTTTTGGAAAATGAAATTTATATATTACCAGTCCTTAACTTGTATCAATTCAAGTTACAAATTTTCCAAAATATTAGTCAAATATAATATATAATTATAATGATATAATTTTGTGTTTTGTTCATAATGGACTCTCCTATCATTTTTACATAGTTCAGTAGCTCAGTTATAAGAACCAAACAATCAGACTACCCATGCATATAATTTGATTATGGTGGTGAAGGCTTTTGTAGAATCACTACTTTTTGGAAGAACTTAATATATAGAACTGTGCATATAATGTGCCACAATGTCTCAGAAACAACCCTTCTGAGATTTTGAATTCAGTTTTCCTTCTCTTAGATTGGCTATATATATTATATAGAGAGATAGAAATGTTTAGAATATCAATAACTGGTATTTCACATGGACTATACCTATCAAAAAAATTTAGCATCAAATATCACTCTGCATACCACAAAGATCAACATTTGGTGTATTCACAACCTGTACACTCTTTTCTCCCCAGATATTTTTTTTTTTTTTTTTACAAAATGCCCCATAGTTTTATTTCAAACAGTATCATAAACTGTCTGTAGCCATAAAGTTGTTAATAAAAATTAGTTTAGAGTAGAAGTTACAAATTAAATTATAAATTAAAAGAAACTTGTTCCTCCCCAATCCCCTAAATATTCTTTGCTCATTTGGCAGCATGTCTAACTTTCGTATCCACAAAAATGGTGTACCAAAAGGTGCTTATTCACTTGACACTTTTGACTCCCTTCAGCAATATTTGTTTTTAAAAAACCATTATTAGAATTTGAATAAATTAAGTTATAGCTTTCTTAAGTATATGTACTCACACACACACACACACATAATTAATATGGTTCAACTTGCATGATCTTTTCTCTGGTACTTATTTTTGTACTTGTAAGTAACGTTGAATTTTTTTTTATTTTTTATAGGTTCACAGTCAAAGTTCGGATCCCAGCCCCAGTGAGACAAGTGGTAGTGAATGAATGAAAGATAGCAAAGAGAAAATAAAAGAAAACAAATTGTACATAGTGTAATATACAGAACTCCTTTTTTTTAAGGAGGTTAATTTATTGTTTGTCTCAAAGTTGGGTCTCTTGAAAAAACAAAAACAATTCACCATTTTCATTTGTGTTTAGAAAAAAAAACAAGTCCCTGCAGGAGGGGACATTGATATGTTTTACACCATTTTGTAAAATACATGGCGCTTTGTTAATTTTTATTTTATTTTTTTTTTTTTTAACATGAGTAGCACATATTTGTAATGGTGCTTTCAGCTAAGTGAAATCTTAACCGTTGGTTATAAAAAGTTGTTAACATAGCACCTACTGGCTTCCAAAAATGAAAATCAAAGAAACAAATTCTATTTGAATTATTATTTTTACCTGGAAATAAATTTCTTCTGAGGAAAAAGGAAACAATACTGATATGAATTCTCTTCAGGGGCATGTTGCTATAAAGAAGTGGTCTACACTTTCTTCTTGTAGGTCATATTACTGCAGTGAGTTTGATCCTCACAGTGTGGCCTACACTTGTGACCTTGTGCCAAACTATGCTAAACAAATACTTATTTATTATCTAATCATATGCATTTAAATATTTCTTGGAGGGTACCTGATAAAAATCATTTGATCCTTTTTATTATATTTCTTAAATATTAGGTTGAATCATAAATAATTTCTGTTTTTGTAAACAAATTGTAACATTTTGAAGAATAAAGTTGATAAACAAAAACACATTATTTATAACTCAACCTAATACATTTTAATTTAAATCTCACCACAAAGTGCCTTATGTTTAAATATCAAGGTTTAAATTTTTATTGGGAAATGCTCTTTAATTTTTCGTTTTTATTATTCAGTTTTAAGTCTTCTAAGAAATGAAATATTTTTACTGAAGTAATTTGGAGGATTGTTTTAAATTTTAATTTGTCAATATTTTGTTTCAATTATAAGTTTCTAATGAAACTTATAATTGAAACAAAATATATGACTTTGAAGAGTTAATATACCCAGTTTTGTTTGGATAATTGAATATCATTTTCATATACTGACTGTTATTAACATGTTTTCATGGCTTCCTTTAGTCTTTATCAGGAATATTCCATGAGAAAAAATAGAATTTTTGATTAGCAAAGCAGGTATCAGGGACCCCATAATACCTGCAGGTATAATTTTAAATTGCCCAGGTATTTGATTTAGTTAGTACTGCTGAAATGGTTTCATTTGGTTGTTTTATATGAATGACCATGTTTTCTTTGAAGGAAGTAATTTGCATTTCATTTCTTAATGTTATATACTCTGAGGGCCGAAGAATAGAATGGTCAACATGTTGGCTTTTCTACATCTTCATATTCTTGCAATAGCAAGTATATTAAGATGTTCAATTATGTAATCAATATTGGGCATATAAGTTTAACCATTTTTGTTATGAAATTATTGTAGAAATATTACTAATGAAAATAATATTGTTAATAATTTTTTTCCATATTCAGTAATTCACTGCTGGTAATTTAAATCAATATTTGAGATCTCTGAAACTTTTTTTTTTTTAACTTATTACATATCCCAAGAGACTTAAAAATTGAACTTGTCTCCTGAAATCAAACTATTGAAATAAAATAAAATTAAAATATACATGAATTTTTACCTTAAAAGATATTTACTCATTTCTCAATTATTTGCAGGACCAATATTTAGAAATGATTACTCCCTGCCACACTTTTTTTTTTTTTTTTTTTTTTTCAAAATATTCCAAGAAATGGCAAATATATTGAATGAAAGTGCCAAACAATTTTGTCATGTTTCTTTGAACCTTTTTTTTTTTTTTTTTTTTTTAATTACTATAAAAATAAAATGGCTCCTTGGTAAGCATCATCTGTTAATCCAGGCTAATCTCTTAATCTAACAAAATTCAATATGTGCATCTTGCTCACTTTTTTTTTTTTTTTTCAATTAAAAGATCTGATCATTTTTTTTCTCATTTACTGAATGTGTATTCATGCATGTGTATGTATCTATTGTATACATACATACACCTTTGTGTGATACATCTGATTTGTGACTATATTATATTTAATTACAACTGTGACTTTAATGATTGAATGAAATCCACATCACTATTTCAAATTCTTCTTGACTAAATCTTTCATTCTGTAAACTTGTGACAGTGAACTAAAACTTTATTCTTTCCTTTATTTTTCTCCTCTCTCTATTCTCCCTCCCTCTCTATGAACCCATGTTATTTTCTGATTGGACAAGTTAAAGAGAAAATAGTTAATTTAAAAGATTGTTTTTGTTAGATTCATTTTTGTAGACAGTTGTTAGCTCCATTTATGAGCAATGTTATCTTGGATAATATCATATCATTCATCTTGGATAATATGTCATTTTGATGGGTAAAAGCAAACATAATTTATAAAGTGTTTACTTTGTGTCAGGGGATGGGGAAAAATGTATGTAGATAAACAATTTCCTATCTCAGATCCTTGGGATTGGACTGAACTCTTCCTGGAATTTGGAAATTTTAGAATTTCCAAATGTTTGTAATGGAATACAGTAAAACTTGTAAATATTCATATTGAGTAAGTTAATAAGACTATAAATGTTATAGTTTATTTGTGTAGTGAATAGTAAATGAAATAATAAATATAGGCTATAAAATTACTGGTATGATTTAATTTTCCATGGGGGAAGCAAATGTTTGTTTATGGAGGTTTTCAGATTGTGTATCTATATAAAATATATAGGATTAATTCAAATAAAATTTGTCACTTAGCTGATTGATGTTATATTCAGCACCTGGACCCTAGGGTTTTGTAAAAAAAAAAAAACTACCTCTTTGTAGTTGTTCAGGAAATATCAGCAGTTATTTGCTGATTTCTCATTTTTGTTTTTTTTTATATTAAAAAAAAAAATATTATTGATGTTAGGTTGAAATAATGTTTTTCATGTTTAAGAAACAGTGAAATTCTGTAACCTTTTAATGCTCATTGACATTTAAATTATTTATCAAGTGTATCATGCTGTAGACTCTGAAGTGACAGTTTTGAACAAAATCAATACATCGATCTAGTATAAATAATAGATTGCCTTCATTACTTGTTTACATGAAATGATATTTTAATCCAGCAACATATTTCATTGCTTCTTGATTAGTCTCATGATTTTAAGGCCTCGTAATTTTATGCAACCAAAATGACACATAATTGTACCTATACTCTAAAAGGCAGCTCACACTAGATACTACATGACTGGGAGATTAGTAGATCAGTAATAAAAAAACAAAAAGTAATTTAGTTTAATCATACTGACTCAATTAGTTATCTTTGGCTGCCTTACTTCTGTAGTCTTGAGCCAGACTATGCTGTGTAGATATCTAGAATAGTTATATTTCTAACAATTTAAAAACAAAATCTTAGTTTTACTAAAGTTTATACAAACAGGTTAATTTGTACTAATTGTCTAGTTTATTTTTCTGGAGATTTTGGTTTTTTTTTTTTTTGGTTTTTTTTTTTTGACTGGTTTATCCTGTCAGTATTATAGTGTAGTGTCATAAAAATGTATGGGAATGGTTAAAATTTATTGCTGTTGTCCCATATTATTTTTTTTGTTTGTATATGAATTAAAAAAAAAACCTTAATGCATCATTAACTGAATTCAGAAAAGTGTGCTAGCTTTTATTAAACTTTACAAATTTGAAGTTTTTGTTGAAAATAATAAGCTTGTCCAATTCTTAAACATCTCACTAACATGGGTACCTTTGAAAAGTATCTTTGACTCATACTTTTTTGATCAAATATTTACAAACCAAAATACATTTTACTTTTCCTCTCCATATACCAACATTGAAACTAGTCATTGTCAAGATATCTGTGTTACCAAACAGTAAAAATCAGTATGAAGGAAAGAAAAAATGGATTCCTTCAGTGATTCCCAGAACTATTTTTTGTGTTTCTTTTTAATAAATTTGACCACAAATACCTATTTTTATGCATTGATTTAACAAAAGCAAATATTTTTTATTTTTATTTATTTATTTATTTATTTTCATGGATTCTTTTGTTTGTTTTTCTTTTTTGTTTTCCTTCTTTTTTTATTTAACTTTTTATCTTTAATTTTTTTTTTACTTGTTTTGTAATTTGAGTGATTTGAATCTAGTCAAAAATATGAAAAAGTTTTAAAATTACACTGCTAAAGATTTTTCTTAATTATGCTCAAATTTATTAATTACTCTGGTGGACTGGAATTTTTTTAACAATTTTATTTTATTTTTAATTGTAGCAGCAAAAATCCCATTACTCATCATTTTTTGTGGTGCTACCTTGCATGCAAGAACTCTGACTTTTTTTTTTTCCATACAAAGTCAGAAGAAGCAATGTTAGGCAATGCAATTTTCCCTTTGATTCAATAATTCTATACTTATCTCTTCTTTCAATTTAAAGTTAAAATCTATTTATTCATCACCATCTTTTTCTTTCTGTTACTGCTGTATGCGTGTTTTATTTTTTTACTTCAACCAGTATCTGCTGCTCAAGAAAATAACTGCTTATATCCTGGTTATAAGTTGCTCAAAAATAATTCTTCCAGATTTTTCCCTCATCCATTCTCTTCCCCCCCACCCACTATCTTTCTGATTTTTATAAATGTGGAGATATAAAAGCAATTAACACCTTGTAAGAAAGGAAAATTCTCTAAACAGAATGATATTTTGTTTATATTTCTATCAAAACAATAATTCATTTTTAACAAAAAAATATAATCAAAAGAACTTTGACATTGAGTTAAAAAATATATTTTCACGTATCAAATATTTTCCAAGCAGTTTTATTAAATTGGTTTCTATATTTAATAACTTGATCTGAATATAGCAAAAGGCCAAACAAAACCTAGAAATGAGTTATTCTTCTGAATGGAAGGGGACTTTGAAAATCAGTATATAAAATCTTAGTTTAACCTGGATTTTAACACAGATTTCCAGAAATACA